AAAAAAGAATCGGCTGGCGGCCGCCTGGCTTGCGGATGCACGAACGACGGGTGGACGGCCGAAGGTAACGTAGGTTGCTTCTCGAAGATAGTCGTTCCCGTATGTTTTGCTATCGGTGTCGGGTCATAGGCTAAAGAATTACGTTACAGTACATACCAGCAGTTTACTAGATTTCAGAGAGAGTTTAATAGGTAATGAGTAAAACAAAGGTTGTGCAATTTATTTCTCATATTTATTATTATTGCATACTGTTTATGTTAGTATATTACTTAGGTATACGTGCCAAGTAGCAACTTAAATGTATGATTGCGTGTTTCTGTTTGTTCTTCCGTATTCACGGATAGGTAGGTAGGTAGGTAGGTAATGTACGCTTACTCCATTATATATAGGGTGTATTTATAAGTATAGCATATTTCGGTAGAACGTCAGCTTAAGAGCTATCGGTAATAAATAATAAAAGAGTTATAACGGGTGACGGTGGTACTTCCACGAGAAGGTACCGCGTCGTGCGTCCAAAGGACTCCAATGAAGTCGTCCTCCCATGCAATCCCTAAAAGTAATCCCGAGTTCATCCGATGATCCCAAGAATTGACGATAAGGAAAAAAAGGAAAATTCTTGAGAGGCTCATTATTTCTTCGAGAAAGCCAATGGACGCACGAGCGTGCACGTTTGATTAAATAACGAATTAGGCTACCTATTGAAATAGTTATTTCCTATTGGAAATAAAGTAACGATAATAATAATAGGATAAAAAGACATCGGGTTCAGCCGCGTGAAGCATCGCGTCTCGCTGTTCAGTGCCAAAAAGAAAAGAAACGACATTTCTTCACATTCTCCTTACTCTTTCCATTTAATTTTTCCTCTCTCTCTCTCTCTCTCTCTCTCTCTCTCTCTCTCTCTCTCTCTCGCTCTCTCCTTCTCACCCTGCTGAACGCTTCTCTCGCAAAGCCATCGGGCCTCTTTTTATTATTCGCCACATTAAAAAAAAAAAGAGGAATAATTCTTTGGCACTAGGTCGGAAACCGGGCGGATGTCCCCTATATGTACAGAGAATAAATCGAAATGGCGTCCGCGGACGTTCGCGCTTAACGGGAAATAAATATCGATTGCTCTTATTAAATAACAAAAATACAATATGAAACGTTCACTCGGCGAGGTGACGTATCTCGGCTCGGTGTAGATTTCTTTTTATTATTTTATAACACATTGCGCTGGATGAACACGAGCGGCTCTCATTGTCAAGAGACACAAGAGAGACGCGTTTCCGTCTCGACTCCGAGTGTCGCAAATAAATATGTTACACGTACGAAGATAATAATACGATGAACTTGCCGTAATGCTGCTTTCCCCATATTTACAATTAAACACAGTCGCGTATATCGTGTGTGTGTATATCGTGTATGTATAATGTGTGCGCGTGTTTTCTTATTTTTTTTTATTTTTCATATTTTTTCTTCTTTCCTCTCTTAATTTTTCTGTACTCTTTCGTGTACTCTGCGTATCTCTATTAACTCAACCATTCGCACTTTGCCTTTCGTGACATCCACCCCGTGTCCAAATTGTTATTGACTCGGGGTATCGTACGCTTTGGGCGAAAGACAGCGGTTTTTTTTTTTTTTTTTTTTGAAAATATACGATTCTAGCCATTTGACCGGCTCGCTACTAGTCCGACGACCAATCAGGATGTTTCCTGGTACATGGGCAACTTTCGACGAATTCGGTTGTCACGAAGGAAATTAAACGAACTGCGCATGCGCGAGTTATGGAATTATTACGCATTTCGAATTGGAACTTTGACAAATATATTTCTGATTTTTATAGTGAGAGCGTTAATATATATTTTTTTTTAACTATTTTTTCTTTCCTCCCCGTTCTCCCTCGTGTTTAACGTCCTTCGCGAAAATCGAGAGTTCTGACAAAACTGTAAAGTAAATCTCGTTTTGACGTGTGCTTGTCGCTTCCATGTGTTGTGCTTCCAAGGAGACTCGACTCCTCGAAAGTAGATCAAAGAATATGGTTCCTGTACAGTTAATTTTCCTTTAATCCTTTATTGGGCAACGGAGGATTCTTGAAATCGAATCGACGCACCAAATTTTCGTTTCGTTTTCAAAATTCATCCGCCACTTGTTATACGCTGGACGGTATACGTGCTGCCTTTGTCACTCCGGTGTCTGTTCCACGAGGACCAACGAGAGGCAACTTCGCAAACCGTTGACAAAGAAAGTTGCAATTTTCACATGCAGTTATGCGTAACGTGGGCGTGGCTTCGTCGCGATCCGAAATCTACGATTCTAGCGGGAAATTTGATTTTTCTATAACGCGTGGCACTGTCGTTTCTTATATCGCGTCAGTGCGTGAGCAGTGGCAAGTCAAAGGATAAGAAATTTGAAAAGCATGAGTAGCCAAAATGTAAAAATAGAAAATTCACAATTCACGTACCACTTTGCGTTTGTTCGTCGTTGAAAAGAAATTCGAAAAAACAAAAAAAAAACGAAAAAGGAAATGAAAAAAACATAAGGATTCTTGCATCGTCTCACGATTAAACTCACCCAGCATTAATCCTATGTCATGTAATATATATATATATGTGTATATATATATGTATATATGTATATATATATGTGTATATATATATATATCAATATATATATATATATTTATATATATTCATTTATATCTCGTTCTCTATATCAATTATAGCGTATTAGATACTTCTTTTTTTTTCCTCACTTAAACCTTAAGTATTTAATATAGGTATTCTTTTTTTCTCTTCACAGATATATATCAAAATGGAAACGCAATGTTTTTTCCTTTCACATTTTTTTTTCAAACTTTTTTCTTTAAAAAGTATCGATTCTCCTAGTTGGTTTTTCTTTTTTTTAAATATTTAATCCTCTCCCCACTACTACCTTCTATCAGCAGCATCAATCTCTTTCCTCGTTAACCTTTCGTTCGAATTGAAGATGCCTTCTTCACGGATATTACACGCATTTAGTATGTTATCACGAAACGAAAGATATCTCTTTGAGAACATGCCATTCAGGGTATTACCGGTGTGGATCGATCCAAAATTGAATTTCATCTTACAAATGTTCATTACTCTTGTTTTTTTCTTTTCATCCCTTTCTCTCCCACTCGCACTCTCGCTCGCTCGATCTTCCATTTACCAGGGTGCTTGTGTTGTTGTCCTTTTATTTTTCTTTCTTTCTGGACACCGCGCGATCGCCCGAGAAGCACGGGCACCGTGGCCATTCCCATGGCAATTTCCACAGCGGCGTTCCCATAGCGCGTTTGGCCGGCGGAGCCGTAGTTGCCGAGCGCGCGATTTTATTTGCAGCTGCAGTCACTCACGCACCATACATACGACATTTTATGGACATATTGCGGCCTTTTATTGTTCGTAACGAGGTGCAGTAAAGCACATTGGCATTGGGGTTCGCGTCAGTGAGGATCACGCTGGAATAGCAAAAAAAGGAATCACGCTTTTATTATTATTTTTCTGTATCCTCATTCAAAATTTATTATTCTTTTAAGGTCCCTCGCGATGCTCGGTAATCAAGTATCCGAATTTTGGACTGACTTATGGAATTGGCCGAAAGACTTCGCTATTGAAAAAAAGAAAGAAAAAAAAAATATATTAATTCAAGAGAACTCGGGAATAATTTCGAAGCGCAGTATGTCCAAGAAAAAGGCGAATGCGGTGCTCCCACGCACACGATAACACGAAATTTTGGATGACTCTTTAATTTACAAGTGGTCACGATCTACGGGACTCGTTAAACTTTTTCTTTTGGAAGGCACTTACTACTTTTTTTTTCTTTTATACAATATTTAATTTTAAACCCCACTCTTAATCCCCTCCCCCACCGACCTCAATTATTTTTCATAATTTCATTCCACTCGCTCACCCACGCACACTGTTCCTCTCGCACGCACTTTCGCTCTCTCGCATGTTTTTCTCTCTTCCACTCGCACTCTCTTTCCCTTTCGCTCGGTTCTCGTAATTTTAATTTCTCTTTTTTTTTCTTTTTTCTTTTTACAACGCACTACACTTTTTGTCTCGACGCCATCGATTTTAATTTATTCATTTTTTTGAACACATTAAGCCTAGATTGTAAAAACCTTCGATCCAAGATCTGTATCATTTTTTTCTCCTACTACTCGTTAAAAATAAAAATAGTATAATAATACGTCCTACGTTTAAAGAACTCCAAAGACAGTCCTAGAATCTCACTTTTTTCTTGCATTTTTTTGTTTTTCCCACGTCCCATCTCTCGATTTCGCTCCGTGCGCTCGCTTTTTCGAAAGCCGAAATTAGGCTGCCCCGTCGCAAAGCACAAAATCGGCAGCCACGAGAAAAATGTTGGTCTTTCCGTATACGCTCGCGTTTCACGTGTTCTTCGCGGCCAGTACACTTTATTTTTTTTTTTGGTAATTTTTTTTGCACAAAAACGTTTGTATCAAGAATATTTTTGTCATCTGGCGTCGCGCGCGCGAAGTTACTCTCGACTCTCGAATTAATTTTAACGATTTTTTTTTTTTAAACATTTTCGACGTATTTCTCCTTAAATAATTTTTGCCCCGTTTCCACGATCCACTCACTAAATCTTAATCAAATCCGATTTTCCTTAGCGCTTAATTTACTTTTACTTTCGACGAACCCGGACAAAGTTTCACGTACCGAACCGCAAAAATTGGATTAGTTCCTAGAATAAAAAAATGAGAGTCTTGGCGGTTCCACTTCCGCATCCGAGTCAAAGCGAAAACAACAATGGTATCATTTTTTTTACTCGCGAAGGCCACTTCGAATTTCTTTTTACAATTACGAGGATTTCGGCATAAAACGGCTCGACAATACAGTGTGTAAGGGGAAGGGGGGCGCGCGGAGGGGGGCAGGGCCTTAACTTCATATTAATCGTCCGCGTAACTTCAATTAATATAAAAGGCAAAGGCCTCGAGTGTGCTTGTCTCGCGTCTTCGGGAATCATCGGCCCAGAGATCGCACAGAGATTCGTAATCGTGAAAGTTCGGGTCGGATTCCGTCGGTCTTCGGGTGACGCGCGGCTCACGTTAAATTTTGAAAAAAAATACCACGGTACTCAACAAGAAGTTCACCCACTCGATAAGGTGCCAGGAAAGTTCTCACTCTCTTTCTAACTCCGTCTCGGTCCATTCGTTCTCACTCACTCTCACTCGCACGGCCATTCCCTCTCGCATTCACCCTTTCTCATTCTATCTTCCTCCCGATCTCTCTCGCACTCCCACACAATCGCACAATTCCAAATTCATTGAATTTCATCGTGAGTCCAATTTCACGTTCGTTCACGCGTCTCCTTCTATTCTTTAAAATTTCTCGCAACTTTTTTTTTCCCCATAAATTCTCCTAATTCCTAAACTTAATTTTTATACTTGGCATACCCCAAATATGGCAGGAAGGCAATCATTACATTTAATAACGTACAGCAACCATCATCGTCTTTCACTATAATCGCTAAAATCTTAAGGTTTTCTTTTTTTTTTTATTATTTCAGTGTGATTTTCTCCTTCCTCTTTCCATCTCGACCGTGAAATTTTCTTTTACATCCCTCCCTCTCTCTTATTTCTATTCCACTTCAGCGCACGCGCGCTCGCGTCTCCTTCTCCTTATTCTTTTTTTAAATAGACAATTATCAATTTTGTACATTTTCGCCTTTCTTTTATATATATATATATATGTATATATATATATATATATATATTTATGTATATGTATAGTATAGCAGCGGCCCGTATCTCTTCGTTCCATTTCTACATGATTTTCCACTTTTTCCCTAAAATCCCACTTCTCACATTCATCCCTCCTACTCGCACCTTCATCCACTCGACAATATCATTTTACGCACATTCCCTCGCGCTCCGCGAACAACGAAAAAGCGAGTCACGCACTTCCCTACCGGAAAGGAAGAGGCCGCCACGTTGTCCGCGAGCGGCCTCTCTTCCAACTTTTTCATTTCTATATTCCTAAACTCACCCGTTCACCCGGATCCACGCAAACACGCACACACACTCATCATCATCATCATCATCGCCTTCATATATATATATATATATATATATATATATTTCTTGTCTCTCAGTACAATTTCTCGACGATTCATCCCCTTTTGTGATCCTTGGCATGTCGTGTCGCGCGCGTGAGAATGACTAGAAAACGCTGGCCCCGTCGCGCTTGTACCATACCACATACACCGCACACACGCAACCACCCAAAAGTCTCACAGGTTTTACGCAACATTCGCAACCGCGCGACTATCGCGAAATTTACTACGAATCATTCGCACATGTGATTTTGGATGCATGTGGCTTTACGTGTCAAAGTGTATCTATACGTATGTATATATATATATATATATTTTGTGCATATACGCCCACAGGCTCTCACGCACTGTGCGTGCTTCTCCCTTGCCCAGCCTCTGTAATACGTCTTACCCATCGCACTCATCCTTACGCTGCCCTCCGCTTCTCGAATGATCCGAGGGTGCGTGCGTGCGCGCGTGTTTCACAAGTAAATAAATGTGTCTCTATTTGACGCGTCTTACTCTACGTAAAGGACCTCACGAAACGCCACGACATATAAACGGACAGCACAAGACGACGCTTCGCTAGCATTCCTTGTATGTAATCCTTCCAACAGTCCTGGACCTTCCGACTATTTACTATAAGACCTGACCATCAGGCGTGTCGCGTCCACGTGTGGCTGGGACCGACCGGTCACCATTGACAATGTCCGATTATTAATTGGTGTATCATCATGCAACTGCTTAAGAACTATTATACATTTGGCATTATCGTAATGGTATATGTATTTATGCATATGTCCATGTATACTTATATATCCATATAGGCGTAGGTATAAATTATGTAGTGTTTCCGCTCATCACTTCTCTCTCTCTCTCTCTCCCTCTCTCTCTTTCGCTTCTTTGCATGGCAGAGCGACAAGTAGAAGTGCATGTTATATGTATATATATACATATATACTGAGTGTATGTATAATATTTATATGCATAATCTAGACGACACGACGATACAAACTATCTAGATTGGAAAGTGGTGCAACGTCTCTACCTTTGCAACCGGGACGCACTCTCTGTCTCTCTCTTTCTCATTCGCTCCTGTATATTCACTCTCTCTCTCTCTCTCTCTCTCTCTCTCTCTCTCTCTCTCTCTCTCTCTCTCTCTCTCTCTCTCTCTCTCTTCCCTTCCCCTCTCACTCTCTATCACCCTTTACTTCAGTGCTTCTTTCTTCGAAGGAATTCATTAAACGAGATGTTGGCTATTATCATTTGCCATTATCTCTCTGTTGGCTCTTTCCCATCCCCCCTCTCTCTCTCTCTCTCTCTCTCTCTCTCTCTCTCTCTTTATTTTTCTCTCGCTCTCCATCTCTCTCACTCTGTATGTAAAACTCGAGGAAGTGAATCGAAATGAGTCCCACGTGGACTTCACTCATCCTGACATAGCCTCAAGGATTCTGCCTACGCGGAGAAACCTAAAGCCACTATCCACACCGAAACGAAGCGGAACGAAGGTATTGCACGCTAGAGAAAATTGCGCGTTACGCTATTATTTAGCACGAGTGTCTCCTTCCGGAGAAGCCACGCGACCTGGCCGCGTGGCGCAGGGTTATTTCTTTTGATTCGAAGCCTCACTTCTACGCGTTCTACGTTTAAACATTTTTCTTTCGTTTAGTTTCAACCACCGCGGCTTCGCTTTGCTTTTACTGCCGACGAGCGCCATCTTTGTCTTCCGCATCTTTACTCTTCCATCGGGAGCGCCTACGTAGCTTATGCATGTAAGGGATACTCCAAAGTAATATAGGGATCCCTCGCGATCCCGAACTACTCGTTATCCCCGTCCTGACTGTCTCTCGCATCCTTTTCTCTTTCGGAAAAAAAAAAAAAACAGTTCAACACGCTCGGCTACTCGTGTTCCTCACAAACGGCCACTCGCTGCCGCTTACTATTCGCAACGCGAGTCCGTCAGCGGTTCCAACTTCACAGGTATCTTGTCCTTGTCCTTGAGGCCGTGAGAACTCTTGACGAGGTCGGCGATGTCCTCCTGGAAGAGATTCTCCGGTCTGGGACTGACGAAGCTGCGCGCCGGCTTGTAGGTCATCCCGCTGACTCCGATCCCGACCTCCACGCTGCTGGGTATGTGCGTGGTGGGATCCATCAGAGGACCCAGAGGACTGGCCAGGGGACTCTCCATGGGACTCTCGGGCGGACCACCTGAGCCGGGACTCGCCAGGCCCAAATTCAGCGGCGAGTTGCCGTTGTTATTGTTGTTGTTGTTGTTGTTGTTGTGATGATGCTGGGCCTGGATCGCCGCCTGGATGTTCGTCGAGAGGCTGCTGGAGAGATTCGTACCGATCATGTCGTGCTGGTGGGAATGAGCTGCGGCCACCATGCTGCACATCTGATGTCGGAGGCCTGAAAACACACGAGATCCGTCTGACTGAGTGAATTCTGCCTCGCCGGACTATCCAGACCATCCAGATAAATCCAGACTACCCGTTACACTTTGCTCCCGTACCTTGGGCCACTGCTGCGACCGCGGCTGCCGCTGCCGTGCCGGGACTCACCGCACCTTCCGGTCCATTGCAGGCTGCGTAATTCGCAAGACTGGGATACATGGATGCTGGCTCCTCCTTGACGATGTGCGGCGAGTGTCCGTCGCGAAACACAACCGCCCTTATGACACCCCGGATGTGCTCGTCCGGCCAGACCCCGAGGAGTATTCGCTGAGGTCGCCCTCGGCCCTTGGGACGCAGATCTAGCATAGGGAGATCGATCGTTACTTCGGGTTGTCAACACTGGATGCCGATCCGCTCTTCGTTCGCCGTTACTCGACACCAATCAGCCCGATGGATGCTTCGTTTAATGGAGAACGCAGACCGCGTGCCGGCTTATTCGAATCACGCGTCAGGCAAATACGGAGGGTATAGACTATATGTATATATTGATGCATCGCTCATACGTGCACCGGCATAAATGGGAACTCCATTCGAATCGGAAGATATCTGAGCCCGCGAGTATTGCTAAACCGTGAATTCGGTAAGTTAATGCAATTCGAATCCGCGCGTATTGGCTCGCGGTACGATAAGGTTGCAATTGTTAAATAAGGAATTGAAAAAGTTCCGATAAACAATGGTTAAGCGTGACGAATAACGCCGAGAAATGACTCCTAATGCGACTCTGCAAACGGGACCGCTTATTGCCGATGTAATTGCGGCTTTTTACGAGCGCAACTAAATCCTCCCTCGAATGGCTCGCAGTCTCGAGCCTCGATATATCATTTAGAATATTCTACTATCGCCTTTTATTAACTATTCACAATTGGCGACGCGACAGGACGCGCTCGCACCGATTCGAATTTTCAAACGATACTCTTTCTCGTTCCAATCGTCCTTTCCTTCCCCATTGATAATGCTAATGTATATCAAGGCGAATAATGAGTCATTGAAATGTCATTCAGTCGATTTGCCCGAAGCATCCATCGATGATTATTCTCGGGTTGTCGCACGTCTAAAGGGTGGACGGGTATCCTCTGTCTTGGTCGCAGGAGAATAAATTAAACTCTACGGTTAAAGCGAGCCCTAAGCGTCTAACGTCTCAGGCAGGAAAGGAAGGTAAAGCCTGGTCCAGCCTTTCGTTTATTTTGTGATCGAGAAGCGGAAGTACTGTGAGTAGATACTGAAAATGGCAACTAACACTCACCGGCCCCGCCATCGGCGCTTGGACCTAACATGTTGTGAACTCGATTCGCGTAAAGGACAAACGTTGGGTACGGTATGTCGTACTTCCTGGAAGCACAAAAAGAGGATACGAACGATTACGATTTCGTAAGATTGTCAATTTTGTCAAATTTGATTAAAGATTATTTTGAGTAACGGCGGTACCGACCTTGCTGCTTGGCTGAGCGACAGTCCTTCCTTGAGAACGCTGAAGATTGCCTCGGCCATGGTTTCCGGTCGCCAAGACTTGAGCGGTCCGCGTTCCCGGAAGCGCAGATTGTGCACCAGGCTCTGATTGGTGTTCCAACACTTTTGCCACATCGACTGCAGCTGGTACTGGTAGCTATCTGCTGTAACACCCCCCCAAGGAAAACGGAGACAAATGCATTAGTTCCTCTGGCTTGGATCGAATAGCGAATCGAATAGTGAATGGATGCCCTTTTTTTTTTTATGTCTCACTATCTATGATGCATATATAACATATGTCCTATCTCCTAGTTTGCGTGATGGTACAGAGGCGCGTGCCTGTGTTAGGGACGAAACGGCTGAGAAATTAATGGGGCACTTCCGCTTATCGGATCGTCCCATATCCTAGGAGAAAATCACGGATCCGAACGGCTCGACTTCCGTAATCATTTCTTTAGCTTCTGAAATTGCGAGAGACGCCATTTCTCCTGACCCCCTTTAGTCAATGGAAGATTTATATCCATCAATCTCGTCTTCCTTTTCCCTCCCACTTGGAATAATTAGGATTAATTATAAACCGGGCAGATCAATATTGTCGTTGTTTCTTTTTTATTCTATCCTGGATTCGTTATAGTTTTTTTTTTTTCTTTCTTTCTTTTTTCGAGCTTGCTCCAGGACTTTTATGTGGGAAGCAATTTTTTTTTCTTATTACGTATTATTGGTGGTTAATAGTATTTCTAATGGTACCTTTGATAGGAAGATTTACCTGGAAAAGATACAGAAATTCAGCATCGAGATACGTGAGACAAGTAAATCCTAAGTAATGAATAATTTGGACACGGTATGGGTAAACGCATCGATTGTATTCTCCAAGGATGTACAACCGTTACATTCGAAGCTTCACAGCAAAATTCTTTTTCGTTAGTAAATATACAATTTCTTAATGATAACGCAACATGTCAATCGCAGACTCTCGATGGTTTCTTTACATTTGAAAAATCGGACGAAAGTCGCCTTCACCACGAAATTCATATCGAGATCATCGATTCGACGCGTTTTGAGTATTTCGCCGATTGTGATTGGAGGGAAAAAAAGTAAGAAAAAAAAAACAAAAAAAGAAAACGTAAACGCAGAGGCCTCAGCGAAGACGCAATAAAAGATAAAGAGAAAAAAAAGAGGGAAAAAAATGAAGAATAAAAGAAAAGAAAAACTATTTTATTCGTGATCAGTGAAATTTCGCGGATTCGCCTTCAGGGAAATGTCGAGCGAGTGAGAAAACGAGACTCGAGACTTTCGTAGGACACTTTTATAACGGAACACCCGGTACGGCAGATGGCCTCAATTTGAAACGATTATTTAATGGTTAAGTTATTGGCTCTAATGAAGCCTCCTTCAATTTAATAATTAATACAATTAAATGGAAATAACATATAGTGCATAGGCGTATGCACACGCGTGTCACCGTGAACGAGTGTGGATACGCACATGCGTCTCTGTGTATACGCAACGCCTATCTTTAGATCGCTAAACAGTGGAATTGAACGAAGCCAGTTAATTTCTTGCGCGGAGCGTTACACTTGTTTTTCTCTTCTTCCAACACGTTACGCTATTTGCAATTGAATTTTATTAATTAAACTATTCTCTTTCCCTACTCGTCTATCGCACGCGAGTGACAAAAGGCACTTTCGGCTGAGTTTCGCGTTAATTCGTCTAATCGTGAATCCTTTCGGTGGGTCCAGGGACTTTTTTATTTCTCTAACTCTAATATGGCGACCGGATCGCCGGGCCAGGACAGCACCAGGATTCTATTTGACTTTGGCTCTATTCACGGTCGATCCGTACGTTCGCTCGTCCCGCCTTAAATTCTCACCAAAAGGATTCACATACTCGAACCTTTTCTCGTATGCTTAACTTTTTATCTTTTTACAAACATTCTCTTACAATCAACATTCTTACGTCATAATAAACTTTAACGAGATTTTTGTTCCGTCTATAGACAGAGGAAAGTCATATTTTACTTGTTCACAGTTTTGAGCAATCTTATTTCGCGAATCGATTATACAAATACGTTCGTACGTCTAATTTGCCCTTATCGGCGCCAAGTGATCCGATAACGCGAAAGCGACAAAAATATAATCTATATTGTATACATATAAATCTCGATATCTCGTCAACAGTGCAAATAGAAATTTCGAATGACAGGAAGAATGGAGGATATTATGTACACGGTTATTCATTAGAGGGGATCATTATGCATTTCGCGGCAAGTTTTCGTCTAACTTCAATTGAAATATAACTAAAATGGTAAAACGTTAATAACTTAAGCAACCTTCAATTCTGTAACGTTAAATCTAATATTGCTCGATAAATTCGTCATGTTGGTCCCTTCTTTTAAATCGCGTTCGTTTGCGTGTTATTTGTGAAATGAAAAAATCAAAGGCGAGGAAGAGCACGAGATGCTTTCAAAAATGCGAAATTCTTGCATCCGAAGCGAAATTCAACGCGGGAAAATCGAAGAGAAAAGATAAAACGATATTCGCAAAAGTCGAGTCGATCTTTTGGACGTTCTGAGCAAAGCGCAGTGGAATGACGAAACGACGGAATGACAAAGTGATATTTGTACTACCTAAATTCGAATGCAAGTAAAAAAGGAAAAAAAAGGGAATGCTGAGGGTGGGGGGGTGGGGGAACTATACGATAGGGCGCATGAGCGAATATATATATATACAATT